TGTCTATTATCAGACTGATAGAAGTAACAAAATTAGCAGATACTATTGCTGATATGTTGTATCTCGTAGGGAGTAATACCACATCCATTCCCATAAGTACATAGATTTCACACATATTTCATTTGCCCCGCCTGGTAAACTTGCTTGAACAGCCTTTTCAGAACAGGCTCATTAATGAATCAATAATATTATTCCATGTTTTTGTAAGTGAGTTAAATGACACTCACCGTAAAACGGTCTTCGCAGAATAATTTACAATAAGTAATATGCGAATGATTCGACAAAATGTTCGTGAACGCACACGACCGGAACTGGTCCTTGCCGCTCATCAGACATGCTTATTCGATAATCTTTCAACAGCTCATTTTTATACATCCACGGAAATTTTATCAAGTAATTCCCATACTACTTTTGTATAGTAAATATATATCCTATTATATTTCATGAGATTGATGAAGGATTTGGATTGGTCACCTGGTAAAGTTTGTCATTAGACGTGTACTGAAAAGTTAAGAAGCCCTGTACAGCTGAGATGCGTGCTGAGATACTCAGTGAGTGAGAGCAATGAATGAGTCCTCGGTTCGGTCCCACGTTGGGTCTATTGTTTGGCACTGCTGACGTGACTTCACCAGGCCCAGCAGCTGTACTATGCTTCCTAGGTTTTCAGTACAACATTCATTGGCTCTTTACAAGACCGAAGTCCCCATTCATATGTTCCATTGGCACTTTCATTTCACTTTAGATATTGTCTCAAGCCTAATGGATTTTCTATTCCCTATACCAAACATCATAATTTCTCTCTTAGTGACGCAATTTGAGTCAATTCTAGGATGAAGAATCCATTTACTTCAACATGTCAACCAATGCCGTCAAGAAACAGTTCAGCTGTCACGTACTCACTCAATCACACGCACGCACGCCAACGAACCTACAAAGGCTCCTGATATGGAATAGATCGAATCAGGTTAAAGAAAACTCAAAGCCAAAAGGCGAAAGTTAAGCATGAGATTTTACATTCTGCACAGATGAGTGACACGCATCCATGTTGAAAANGCGAGATCTTGATTGCCCTGATTTGTGTTCCACAAAGTCATGCGGATGCTTTTTCTACTCGATAGATTTGCTTTACGTCTATGGACCGCATGCAGAGTTTGCCATTCGGGAAAATATACGTCACTGTTTTGGGTGGTAGGAGAAAAAGCTTTTTGTTATTCTGGTTCATACTACGAGGAAGGTGTTTTCAAAAGTTGTCAAAGTTGACTCCACACAAATACGCAGGCCAACGCACGTAGTCACGCACAGGCGGTTCCTCTGTGAGCAAATCATATGCTATAGAGCGTATATCTGAGTTGGAAAGCGCACGCACAAGAATTAAATCGGTAGCTTCTGTCTTAAGTTGAGAAACGTACCATATCTGACTTGATGCATAATGATCGATGCAAAAAGAGATTATGTGTTAAATCCGTTGGCATGACGAGGCTCTTCCTCTGCCAGTGCGTAATCTCACCGTAATGTGCAACTTTCTTGCCTTACTCATCTCTAAGCGGAGAATCAGTGTATGTCCCTGTATAAATAGCCCAGACCATTCCATGAACTGAATAACATTATGTAGATTGTTGTTTGATGTCCGCGTTGAATCATAAAATTAGTGTGCAAATGAAAACATCATGTTTATTCACTTATATTTGTACAAAAACTGAATAAAGTAACTATGTGGTACATTAGGAAATAAGTAGTACTGAACAATTTGTACCAGGACGATTGAGCAAAGGATTCAAAGTTGTGAAACGTTTATTACGTTTCAAGTAAGCCCCTAGTACTTCACTTGTTATGAAATGATTTCATGCTATTGCTCATATACTGGACCTTATCATCTGTCGTTGTCCTTCTCATGTTCGGATGCTTTTTTGCTATCAGTCGATGCAAACATGCTACGAAAAATTATATGCATTGTTTTATTCCACCCCTATTTCATATTCGTGCACCTATTCGCACAATATCCGATATAATAAGAAGCCTAAGGGAGTCGGTGGAAAATTGTCATCAAATACTTCGTTACACTGGCTGTCTTTACACTTTGCGCCAACAGGCTAGAGATCGGAGTGAATTATTAGTCCGAAACGGACTCAATTGTAACCATTTGTGCTAAGGATTTTCAATTCTACATTATATCAGAAGACTGCAAAGTGATCTGCTCTGTACGAACGCAGTTTACTTGACGAGAGCAGGATATTTCAAAAATATAACTGTAGAAGTTTCTTTACGGTGATGTTATTTGTTCAGCAACAACATTCTTTGATACATTTACCCTCCAATCCGTGTGACCTTAAGTCCCAGGGTTTCGTCACCAGCCAGGCACCTGTGTGTAACTATTGTTGTTGTAACTTTTTTCGATATAATAACTAAAGTGGTGGGGTAGTTGTTGTCTGAGGTTGGCTACTAGTGTTATAATACTACAAAGTGGTGCCTGGTCAAGGGTAGTAGTTCATTGCGGATTACAGATAGGCTATCGATAATTTGGCATACATATAACAAGATATCACATTTTAAACATGTCATCACAATCCTCAGCAGCACACAGAGTAATGAATGGAAAAGTCGGTAGTTATTAGTTGAAGTGCAGAAATTTGCCTAAAGTGGTTTTGTTCATTTTCAATCGTTGAAAGAAACGGCTTAATGCATTAAATTCCGTACTACTCACAAATCTGAGTAGTATCTCACATCACCAGTACATGCAGCAAAGCAATGCCATTTTCAATCCAAATGGTTTGTTAGGTGTTCCTTGCTCTAAAATAGTTTAACCCTCCTGATGTGCATGAAATCGGACTCATTATTCAAGTCGTACAGATACACCCTAGGGAAAGTTCGGGGAAAAAGAGCAATGCAAAATGTATCCGGAGAAGTGGCGAGAATGAAGACTACGAGTAGACAGCTCTGAAGTGGAATGTTAGCTCTGATTGGCTAATTTACAGTGTAAATAACCTTTCGCATTGGCATACACTACTGTTGTTTTGCGGAAAAAGTGACTTCCTCTTCTGGAAAAACATGTGCTATCACCCGGAGTGACTTTCAGATGGAAAAGCATCGCATATGCTCGGTGCTAAGAAAAGCATATAATAAAGCCTATGTAATTACTCGATAAATGTCGATTTTAAGAGAAATTAAGATCTTTCCATTTTTTCCAAAATGGATGCAATAAATTGAAGGGATTCTATGATTATGAGAGTAGTGTTCTTAGCTGTCTGCTGAAGGTCATACAATTTTTTTCGAGTCATGTCAATTCTCCCCACAACCTGCGCGCTCTGACATGTCTCCCGGTATGCTTCCATCAATTGTAATTGCTAAAGTAGCACAAAATAATTCCTCTAGAAGTTTATATTGATTGTTATTAGCTCAATCAGATAGATTATTATTTAAAAGTATCCTCAGATAAATCAAATTACTTTTGATACGCTCGTCAATGCGCTCATAATATCTAGGCCAGTCGGATTTCCGGTATTGGCCAAATTGACAAAGTTCGAATGATAGTCCAGACAACTTCATTTTATCAGCTTGAATAATTTTCTCACTTTCGGAATGGATAACGATGTACCAATCGATGCCCGATTTCGAACCATTTCCATAATAATCTCTCACTGACAAAAATGGAGATCTCTTTGGTTCACAATTGTGATTGAAATGAAACAAAATCTTCTGATTTGAATAACCCCTATCATTGCGAATCACGAATCGCGAGTTATCGGTTGCATGAGAATGAAATGAACTGTTCATGCTTGTGAATTTACCCCACAGACGTTACGATCCACCTATCCGCAATCCGAGCCCAATTAGCCATATTTAAACTTAGGGTGCACACATGCAGCTTTTGTGGTGCTGCCATTCCATGGCCACCCACTGAAGCATTTCTACCGAATACTCTTACAATCGCAAACAAAGACATGCACACACACACAGCCTCATCTGGGGCAAATTAATCATTCAATGGTAGTCATTGTAGACGTCTTCATCATTTGGTTTGGAGTTTTTTCTCAAGCCCATTAGGCTCGCTCATCTATGGCTTGCCAAATAACTTGCCTGCTTGCTTGCGTGTGTGTATGCGTCCTGGTGCGTGCGTACGTATGCAATTTGTTGCTGATCGGGATAATTGATAAATATTGCGCTTGTCAAACATGAGTAAAGTCGCATAGCCGAATATTCACATACCTGTGCATATCCCATTCTATGCTTTTCTGATATATTTCACGTTCAATCAGGGTGATCGCACATTACTCTACGCAAGCCACCAAGCCACGGAGTTAAATAAACTATCGGAGTAGACGTGAATAATAGAGTGCTGAAAGTTGAATGAAAGACGTAATGAAGAGGAAGGAACGAGTAATCATACATTCATTGAGATGATCCGATTCTCGACAGAATTGGGTCTGAGTTGAGAACTGCGGTCGGTCTTGGCATACACATTGTCTGTTGGATTCAACCTTGAAGAATGAGAATAAAGTTTATCGATAGCATTAGTTGTGCGAAGGAAGATCGTCTAGAGGTTGAATGTATTTGTAGACCGAGCTTTACTTAGTAGTAGGCTACATAATGCCGCTTGAATCACCGGTTCATAGGCGCGTGTACATGGGAGAGTGTCACGTGTCAGATTTAGGACCGCGTACGAACAAACGTGGGAGATAAGGGTTCTGCGTTGTTGTTCTTGTTCTTGTTGAGCAGAAAATTATCTGTTAGATCTGAGCTACAGATGATAAAAAATGGAAGGTGGATAGTTCAATAGGAAATCTGACTAGCAAACCATATGGAATAGTAGAAAATCAAACTGCCAATATCGGGATTGATTGTGGAACGGCGATTGGCGATGCACACCAAATATGGTAATTCTATTCAGTATGGAAGCTCTACAAAATACCCACGCGTAATTATCGATAGTACATGGAGTTCGACTTCGGTCGATAGTTATTTCCAACTTAGAAAATGAAGCTGAACGCGAATTCCAGCAGAAAATGGCACATCGGTGTTACATAGATGACGCGATAATCATAACTTACATCGCGGCTGAGACGGAACGTCTAGTGAGCTCTTCGAAAAAAACCTTTGTCGAAATCTACGGTTTACATCATAAAGACCAAATCGGACAACCAACTACCATTCTTCGACATGCGGTGTTACGGTTCGAGTTCCCGAGATATGTGGCGAAGGCATAGTGCATGTCTAAAGACAAGCATCTCCGTGAACTCTGCGGGAAAACCTGCAGTTAAAATGAAGTTCCATTACGAGGGAGATAATGTAAGCTGAATGTTGAGTAATCTAGTTAAATCGGTCATTACTCGTAGCATTTGTGCTGCTTTCCAGTCTTATATCACAGCACACACAGGATCCCAGTAATCGAAACTTGTCTCCCTCTCCTCATCAAGCCAATTGGATTACGAGTGCAGAGTCATATCCTCTACACATCACCTCCACGAGATTTTCTTCAGCCCGAAATGGCTGCAGCGAATGAAACACGGTGCGACAGCTAACGCAATACGTGCCTAGACAAAGAAGCCTACTAATCTGAATTCGATTAGCTAGCAAGTTTATCTCCGAAAAACTCCCAAACACACGACAAATTATATCCAAAATACCAAGCCGTTCGCTTTATCCCACGTGAACTAAGCTACTTCAACCTAGATAATAGGAAACTTCTAATCAATGGGTGTATTCTAAAACAGGACTGAACGAACGGAAGCACAATATACACAATCTTTCAACTGCATTGAAACGTAGCGTCTAGGCAAAAGGTGTTTTTATCCTGCGTAAGCTGCTCCGGTCTTAGAAATGTGGGGGGTTATCTACTTTGCTCTCTACTGTCATTAGTCACACAACTTTCTGTATAACTAACTCCTCGTTATTTAGTTTCAAAGGTGGACTAGACGTCACCCAGTCTTGAAAAATCACTTTGCACTTCGAATGGGCAATAGCATTTTCTGCGTCATCCATACATTCTAAAAGATAGACGATTTCATCAGCGCACTCTCAATGGCACAGCTTTTCTCTAGTTGTCCATTAAATGCCAATATTTTGGAGACCACTTATTGCGTTAGCCGTAATTTCATCTACGACGAAATTGAACAGGAGTGGCGAACTAGAGCACCCTTGACGAATGCCACTGCTAGTGATGAATGACCTATCCCCTTCATTGTAAACCCTCACTCGAGTACCGCGACCGTAGTAATTTACCGTCCTTCTGGGACATTCCTTCTCGAAGTAGGGCTCCTCTCTGAGCCTCGCGGTCAACTGAGTACAAGGTTCCTTTCAGGTCAAGGAACATTGCGATCGTTGGTAGACGGTTGGTAGACGGCGTGTCGCAGCTCGAGGATCTGACACAACGTAAAAATGTAATCAATACATCAGCCAACAGCCCGAATTCGGATTACTGTTCTTGAAGGTTAGTCTCTCTTATAGTATTAGGACGTCGAACTATGATGGCTGATGACACTTTGGCTACAATTAGGATCAAACGTATCCCATGGTGGTTTTCGTATTCGTCTCGTGATCCTTTCTTTAAAATGGGAGTGATCATTAGTTCTTCCCAAAATGAAGTAATGTGTTTTTGCTTCCAAATATTGTGCAGTGAAATACTAGTAGATCTTAGGTTATCAATTTCTATCTTGAGAGGATTGGAAGGAGGCTAGTCCGGTTTTGTGGCCTTATCTTGCTGCAGTCCTTGATTGTAAGAACTTCTACTTCTGCCAAAAGATCGCCCGATACTTCTCACGATGTTTCAGCTGCAGATAAAGTAATCTGGCTAGCATTAGGCCAGCTGAAATGTTTGATTAAGTATTCCACCTAGCTATCAAGCCGTTGCTCACTGTTGTGAATAGCTGATTTTATTGTATCGCAGACTGCTTCACCAAATCGAGTTCACCAACCTCCCTTTTTGCTCATTTCGAAAAGTTTCTGATTACTACCTGGTGCGAATGCTACTTCGATTTTGACAGTTATTATTGCTCGTGATCATTCCGGAGGCTCATTGCAGACGCCACCTAACCGTGTTTTGATACCGGTCGGTAAGGATTTGTCTGTTTTCTCCACTAGGGCTAGTGACTCGTGAAATATCTGAAGCCCCCGACGGGTATGGGGTTCACTCAGATCCATAAGCAGCATTTGCTGCGGAACGCATTGCTTGGTTAATCTAATCCCCTCTCTTTATCTACACTGTCAAATTGAGGTGAGCTAAGCTCACACACTAGCTATGACCTAAAGCTGGCGCGAACTACTGTGACAGACATGTGATGATGAGCTAACCACCTTCGCTGGTTTTGTCGCCAGACAGTCAGTCGGAGAGAGAACTGCGTCAAAACGAACGTGCGGTCAGACTGAACACAGGTCATCCAATATGAACTGCGATTTTGTACTGAGCGACGTCACTAGTAGCTCATGTGTATGTGGTCGATTTGTATTAATGTTCCAGCTAAATTGGAGTTGCACTTGCCGTTTCTCCAGATGTGTCGGAAGTTGGTACCGGATACCAAAGTTGATGGTCTGCGCAGAACTGAATAAATTGACCGCCGTTGGTTGTTCGCTGGCAGGGCAGAGTACAACTATCACCTAGATAAGCTTCTGATGCACTCGGTTTTTCTAACTTGTTTATTAAAATCACCTGCACTTAGAACCATATCGAAGCTCAACCGGGCTCAACCGAATGAGTTAGATGGTTTTGTCGCGTAAATGATCCTTTTTATATCAAAACTGCAATAGGTCGTTGCATATACCAATGAGAACAACAAAGTACCTTTGATGTTGCTTCTCATCAGGACGCTGATTGAACCCTGGAAAAGCATCGATTATAAATGACTGATAACGGGATCCGAACATTAATAGGGGATTCGACCCTTCTTCCGAGTACAATAGCCATCCCGCGCTGACCTACACAACCGTATTCGCCGTTGTTTGATGTGCAAAGAACTTATCTCGAGGAAAAATCTGGCAAGCTCAAGTCGCTTATGGTAGTAGGATAGTTTCATCGAGTCTGCAAAACGCTGCAAATATCGATCCTCACGATGAAAGTCCCCTGATTTATTGACTGACTAGGCATCAGAATCTACCTATTTGGCAATGACCTATGTTGAGCGATATCTAAGATACTTGAGGGACTAATACAGGTCGGAAGAAGGGGCCAGGGGAGAGGACTGAGTGTGGAGAACAAAGAACAAAGGCTGGGATATTTCAACATAATTATCACTACACACCCCGCTTAATGCAAGGAGCAGCGCGGTCCTGATTATCTAGCGTAACGACCTATGCAGTATGGAATAATTTTTATTTTGTGCAAAATGAATTACTGTGTGTTGGAAATTACGTACACAAACTTATCTGTACTCTGTTCAAAACACATCAATTCATGTGCGTTCCTAACCATATCCCAGTATGGTAATCTTTTTCCGCCGGATCGCAACTTCCTATGGTCCCTATGCATGGCCAATTAGTTTGCATTTTTCCGATTCCATCCGATGGTTACCTAACCACCCCACATTGTAACTTTCGTTTTAATTGTCCTATTAATTTCTTGACCCAAATGCTACCGCTCACTCTGTGTACTCAACAACCCCAGACACCCTCCTCGTGTCCGTTGTCTATTCCCTCATTTACACCGTGATTACGGTTGCCACCTGTCGCCCCACACCAGCTGTTGGTGTAATTTCGGTATCCCATCCCCGTGATTGGTACTCAAAGCATTGTCGCTATATCCACATCGCATTCCTTCTCCGATTTCCAAGACAGTGACTTCGTGGCATGTTTGCCCTTGTCGTGTCGAACAGATTGTCTTGTCCACAACGGTTTGCCCAAATTTGAGGTATGCCGCTTTACTTCCACTAATTCATGGTTGGTTATACAAAAGTACACGTAGATTCGCAAGCCTTGTGTTCTGCCGAGCATTCGAGGTACGGTATCTGCGAGTCACTTCGTCATCGGAAGGCAATTCGATACAGTTTGTGTATACATTGAGGTTTCATGGAACGGAAGTCCTAGTTTGGCCAGCCACTCCGTAGAAGAACTATTAGGGTTCTCAACCACAACCTCCATACCTCTTCAACTTCAAGTGAATCCGTTGTAACTTCAGGTGAATCCAACCCATCGCGTTTCACTAGGAACCCAAGAAGATAATTGGTGTTTCGACCGTCAAATGCCACCGATTCGATTGGGTATGTCTAAACCCCGTTCAGTCCGTAATGAAGCAAAATTACTTTTTGAGTGAGCGGGGATGAAAGTTTCGGTGGGGTGAGGTGAACCGTTCTCCACCCGCGCACCCCCCCCCCGCACACACAACCCCGTTCCACCCGGGAACATTATGTGCGTAATTGCTGATTGAGTGTGTCATAGATAGGAATGAACGAATCCGGATTTATGAAGCACTGAGTTCCCTTTATCCATCAATACAAATTCATCAATACAGAAAGAAAACAATTGTCGTGAGATGTTAACATTTCGTTTGATCTTCCCAGTCGCTGACATGAAAGAAGTAGGCACCTATATAACACATGGGATTAATCAATTATGGTGCACGAACGTGTAAAAGCATACAAAGATTACTAAATTTAGAAGTAGGAGGTCAACTTCACGGTAAGGTGGATAAATGGGGCACTACAACGTTCAGTCTACTGAAAAGTGACATGGAACGGTCAATAACTACACTTTTCCAGCTTTTCCCCATGACTTCAAAAACGTGGGCTTGTGAGAACTTTACTTCATCGGGCAAAAGACATTTGTTCTCCAGGTACACTAAAGGAAGAAGAAGATTTCCTAAGGACAACTTTGCTAAAACTTGGTTACCCGGTAAAATTTATAAATATTCATAGAAGACCATTCCCAAAAGGTAGCCATATTGACAACGATGTGCGCCACAAGTTGAAGTCAGTTTTAGACCGTATATTTCCAGCTACTCAAATCAGACTCATTGCCTCCACTCGTGGAGTTGATTTGGACAAATTTTAACTTGGCTGGTAAACCAGTTCTGTCTCACACACTGTATACCAGTTCACCGGCAGTTGCGTTGACGCATACATAGGCAGAACAAACCGTCAGCTCTCACAACAGGTGGTTGAACATATTTCAAAGTGGCTGATGAAATCGATGACACAACCGACAGTTGATGGCCAAGTGATTACAAGAAATTCAGGGTCATCTGTTGCAAGACATCTTATGGCAACAAGAAACACAGTTG